AGATCCCAACCTGGCAGCCCCCATCGATCCCCATTGATCCCATCACTGATCCCCATAGATCCCAACCTGGCAGCCCCCATTGATCCCCATTGATCCCATCACTGATCCCCATAGATCCCAATCTGGCAGCCCCCATTGATCCCATCACTGATCCCCATTGATCCCATCACTGATCCCCACAGATCCCAACCTGGCAGCCCCCATTGATCCCATCACTGATCCCCATAGATCCCAATCTGGCAGCCCCCATTGATCCCCCCCGCCCCCCATTAACCACTGTGGCTCACTATCTGGCAGCCCCCGTTATCCCCCGTTAACACCGGTGGCTCCCTATCTGGCAGCCCTCATTGCCCTCTAATGGATCACTATCTGGCAGCTCCCGTTATCCCCCGTTAACAGCCGTGCCGCCCTATCTGGCAGGCCCGTTATCCGCCGTTAATCCCCGGTAACCGGCGTGGCTCCATATCTGGCAGCCCCCATTCCTATTTGGCTCCCTATTTGGCAGTCCCAGTTATCCCCTGTTAATCCCCGGTAACCGGCACGGCTCCCGATCTGGCAGCCCCCATTACCTCCAATGGATCACTATCTGGCAGCCCCGTTATCCCCCGTTAATCCCCGGTAACCGGCACGGCTCCCGATCTGGCAGCCCCCATTCCCCCCAATGGCTCCCTATTTGGCAGTCCCCGTTATCCCCCGTTAATCCCCGGTAACCGGCGTGGATCCAAATCTGGCAGCCCCCATTACCGCCAATGGATTACTATCTGGCAGCCCCGTTACCCGGCACTGCCCTCAGCGGCTCCCGATCTGGCAGCCCCCATTCCCCCCAATGGCTCCCTATTTGGCAGTCCCCGTTATCCCCCGTTAATCCCCGGTAACCGGTGTGGCTCCATATCTGGCAGCCCCCATTCCCCCCAATGGCTCCCTATTTGGCAGTCCCCGTTATCCCCCGTTAATCCCCGGTAACCGGCACGGCTCCCAATCTGGCAGCCCCCATTACCTCGAATGGATCACTATCTGGCAGCCCCGTTACCGGGCACTGCCCCTCACGGGCTCCCGATCTGGCAGCCCCCATTCCCACCAATGGCTCCCTATTTGGCAGCCGCCGTTCGCCGCCGTTCCCCGCCCGGGCTCCCTCCCCGGTACCCGCCGTTGCCCGCCGCTACCTTTGAAGAACTCGTTGGCGCGGGCCTTCAGCTCTTCGGCCCGTTGGAGGTCGGCGGAGCTCGGGGGCCGCCCGGGGCCGGCGCCGCCGCCGCTCCCCGCCCGCTCTCCCTCCGCCATGGCCGGGCCGCA